AGGTAAAAAACTTGTTGGTTTTTTTTATTTTTTCCCCTCTTTTTCTCAAAAAACTTGTTTCCCCCCTTTTCTCTAGACATGAAACTGGGTAAGAAAGTCAGCGAAGGTAAGACGAAGGAGGTGTACGAGCTGCCCGACGTCCCCGGGTGCGTCCTGATGCAGTCGAAGGACCAGATCACGGCGGGCAACGCCGCCAGGAAGGACCGCATGGAAGGCAAGGCCGCCATCTCCAACGCGACGACCAGCTGCGTCTTCCAGCTGCTTCAGGAGGCCGGTGGGTATTTCCAGGGTGGGAGACGTGCCCTGTGTGTGTCGGGAGGATGGGGCCAGGCTCTTTTCAGTGGTGCCCAGCGACAGGACAAGGGGCAACGGGCACAAACTGACGCACAGGAAGCTCCAGCTGAACACGAGGAAGCACTTCTTCCCTCTGAGGGTGACGGAGCCCTGGCCCAGGCTGCCCAGAGGGAGGTTGTGGATTCTCCTTCTCTGGAGATATTCAAGACCCGCCTGGACAAGGTCCTCTGCGGCCTGCTCTAGGTGACCCAGGGGGTTGGACTGGGTGACCCACAGAGGACCCTTCCAACCCCTACCATTCTGTGATTCTGTTACGAAGGTACACAACACAGATTGTTACAAACTGGTGTTGTTGTCTCCGTGCGTTGGTCTGTCCTGCCTTGAGGCTCTGCTGGGGTTTTTTTGGCTGTCTTTTCTGTGAAGTTTTCAGGTTCGTTTTCCCCTCTGGTGCCGCAGAGCTGGGTGAGCGGCTCGCTCATTTGGAGCGCGAGGCTGTCTGGAGGGAGCTGAGCACGGAGAATGCTGCCGTCGTTTCTCCTGCTCGGTGGGACGCAGCCCTGATCCTCCCCTCTGCTTTTGTCCGTCCTTCCCTACCCCCAGCTCCCTTGCCTGAATACCCGACTGGGTGCATCTCGCCTTTCTCACTGCATCTGCCTGCATACGAGTCACTGCTAGCTAGTGGCATTACCAGACTATGCCTAAACTGTGTGAAATTCGTGTGTGAATGTTAAAAGATAAAGAGTATCTCTTTATCTTTTTTTTCCCCTTCCCCCCTCAGTTGCACATGTCAAATCAATGTAAAGTTTCTGAACTCTTTGTACTTAAACACTTCTGAGGACTGTATTGCAAATGCGTATTTTGGTGTATATCGAATCTATCAGGAACTTCATGTTTGCTTTAAAAGATTCAAGATATTCCTGATGCTAGAAGCAAGCTTTCACAGAGCACGTAACTACCTTGAGTCACTCAAGTAAGTTTTGCACCACACTTCCTAAAATGGAGCCAGTATGTTTGCTCTGAGAAAGCATTTTGAAGTGTTTTTGACTGAGGAGTTTGCAAGTTGCAAGGAGGAATTTGCGCTGGTGGGTTTCTAGCTTGAGTCTGCAAACAGTAGTATAATACGGGCACCGGCAGGCTTGGTGAAGACTGCTTGTAGCTGCGTGCTCAGAGCACGTTGAAGCATTTGCACAAAGAGTGCTTCAAGTACCAGCTAAGTTACTCGAAAAGTTGTATCCTCTATTATAAGGTGTAGTAATAGTCTTCAGGCAGTCAAACTGCAGCGAAGTCAGCGTGTTTTCTATCTGGGGAAGAGAAAGATGGCTTCTGTAGAGTTGTATCTACCTGTGTTTCTGTGCAAGTAGCTCTTAAAATAGGGGCCGAGGCAAAGGTATTTTGCAAATGGATGGGTGGGGAAAGTGTGATCAAGTAATTCAGTACAATCATCAGTCACTGGCTTTCTTGGGAAGCCTATTGTGCCTCCAGTACAAAGAAGCCTCCGAGGTCTTTCTGATTATATTTGCAGTGGATTACAACTACCAGTTTCCATTTGGGAACAAATAATGAGATGTTTTGCCTAATTCTTAAATGGGCAATAGCTAAGATAACAACCAAAATATTTAATATCCTACAGATACGAACTTTAAATGTGAAGAAGCCATGCTGTAGACGTCTGGAAGATCCTTAAATGGCTTGTACTCAGTAACTTTAGGTGCTGTGGAAAAATGCACGGAGTAAACTGCAGCTGCGTTTTAAAACAACAAAAGAACTTTCAGGATTCTTCTCCAGTTTGCTTGTTTGACTGCCCTAAATTGCAGATAACGTGAATGCCTTACTGCAGAAATAGTCTGTTTGCTTTGCGCAACTCTTCTTAACCTACTCTTCCAAAGGTGATCATTTACAAAGGTCTGTTAAAGTTTCTCTCCCCTCTGTAAGAGAGCCAATGTTAGCCTTTCAAAAGCATGCATCTGCACTGATGAGAAAAGTAGTAGTAAAGCGTGTGGGGGCCTTAATGCCTGGATTTAGAAGGAACTTCATACACAGTTGATGATTTAAATCATTCTGCCCTTGAGGGTAATGCAACAAAACCTGAGGAGTTGACATGAATACTGTATTTTTTTTAGACTTTAATTCTTCCTTTATGGCTCTGGAAGTGGAATGATGTAGAGCTACTTCTTGGTTTGACTGGATGCAGCTCTTTTGTCTTCTGTTTCTGGCAGATGCCAGTTGGGCTTGGCAGTTGTCTTGCCCTGGGGGGAGAAAGGTGGGACTTTGTCCAGGAGTGATGTCAGACATTTAGAGTGGCACTGTGTGTGTTGGCTGTCCCTGTTTAATATGGGCTCAGCTTAAAATTCTGTAAGAAGGCTGACTTGCTGCAGCAGCTTTGTGTGTGTGCATGCAATTCTGTGTTGTAGTGTCTCTAGCCTGATAAAAATACTAAGATCCTGTGCTCTGAATAAGTGTTAGTTTGTAATGAAAGAGAGGACCAAGTCATTCTCATCCCCACCCTATCCTCCTTTATTAAACAAAGTAGTAAAGACTGCCGTGCTTTTGTATTTTGCTGCCTTTCCCTAACTCCTCTGAAAGCCTCTAATTGCTGTTCCATGTATGATGGATCTTCCACCATGGTTGGGTCTTGGGTTGCTGCTAACTTTTGTTTAAAACCAAACTGTTGTGAGGGATGGATTTTTAAAAAGGTCTGTGAACAGAATTATTCACAAGAACAGGATTTCTGACCAGAGCGTAAGGTTCTGAGCTACAAGAGAGCATTGTATGGTAAAATTGGCAACACCAGTGACTTGTGGAAGATAACGCGCGCTTGATCGCCTTTTGCAAGGCCGGAGTGGTCTTAAAATACCCTGAAGAGATTCAGTGTGCCCCTTAAGTCCAGAGGAGAACCAGATTCAGTTGTACTTAAAGGTGTTTGTGACTCCTGTTTCAGCTGTGGAGAGTGCCTTGTAATGGAACTAACCTGTCACCTTTATATTTAGGAATCAAAACAGCCTTTGTGAGGAAACAGAGTGACACGGCATTCATAGCAGCTCACTGTGAAATGATCCCAATCGAATGGGTGTGCAGAAGAATTGCTACTGGCTCCTTCCTCAAAAGAAACCCTGGTGTCAAAGAAGGATATAAGTTCTACCCGCCCAAAATTGAGATGTTTTACAAGGTAAGTTTCCTTTCCTGTGATGTTAATCAAACTTAGAGCTGAACTCTGTATTATCTCCTTAAAAATGTTGACAAATAAAGCAAGTTGTGCTAGTGGCTGACCAGTCCTCTTAGTATTGGTAGTTTTGCCGTCCTGATGTTTTCTTGCATTCTTGTTTTGTCTAAAGTGCATGTAATGTAATACTGGCTTACAGGGCCATCAAAGAATAACAAGCCAAATGGTAATAAAATAGAAAAAAAAAAATTTTATAAAGTATAAGGTCTTTTTAGGCGCAAGCTTAACGCATCGTTTGAACAGGATGTGTTGATATATTTGAAGAAATGAAAATAAACCATGCTTGCATGGTGAAGGTAAGTAGCTAGCTAGACGTTTGGGACTCTGAACTTCTCTGGGAACGTGTGCTGCAAGCAGCGTCTTGTGAGCGATGAGCTGGAGTGTTGTCTGTAGCCTGCCCTGTCGCTCTGGGGGCACTGCCCGAACCTGAAGTGCTTCTCAAGACGCTCAGGTGTTACAGCAAGTATTTTCAATGTTGCTGTCACTTTTTTAGCACTTATCATAAAATACTAGTTTGATGCCTGTATTTGGTTTTTGAAAAACAAACAAAACCTAGTAATGTCTTTTAATGGTTATTTTCCTCTTGTAGCAGGCTCAAATTGCATGATGTGTATGTTTTGGTTGTCTTAACAGGATGATGCTAATAATGATCCCCAGTGGTCTGAGGAGCAGCTAATTGAAGCCAAGTTCTGTTTTGCTGAACTTACTATTGGCCAGACTGAAGTGGATATTATGGCTCGTTCTACTCAAGCCATTTTTGAGATTCTGGAAAAATCATGGCAGCCCCAAAACTGCACTCTGGTAGACCTGAAGGTATAAGAATCTGGTTTCTCATGATCCTGGTTCTGACAGGAAACATATCACTGTGTAGTTCCTAAAATAGGTATCTGTCTTTTTAGATTGAATTCGGTGTTAATATTCTGACGAAAGAAATTGTTCTTGCTGATGTTATTGATAACGATTCATGGAGACTGTGGCCGTCGGGAGACAGAAGCCAGCAGAAGGACAAACAGGTAGTGTTTTAGTCTTTACCTTCTAAGTCAGTTGGGAAGGAGAATGAAAAAAGTAAACGCTACAGTTAAACATCTGCTTTCGGAGTAGCTTTTTGTAGCTACTGTTATCTTGTTACAGAGTAGCTCGTAGGGTACCTAATGTCCAATCCTGTTCTCATTAAATGGTTGATTATCTGGTTTATGGTAGGAAAAAATCCCCGGCCTGTATCTCTTCAGTAGGAATGCCCAACAGCACTGGTGACTGGAGCTGTTGTAATGAGCTTCCGGGGTCAACAAGAATTTCTGACTTGGTGTGCAGATAATAAAATAGTTGGACAACAAATTGCTAGGATGAATAGAAGTTTTGTTTCCCAGGCCTGCCGCCAAGTTTCTCTGCTTAGTCAGGGTGGTATCCCTACTAGTAGAGATCTGGTGATACATACACTCTTCATTATTTATTTTGGTTAAGCTTGAATTCAATATTCGGTTGTCTCTAAGTGTTACCAACAGGCTGTGTCCACATACGAGGGCTGCAGACGTAAGTCTGAAATAAAGCTGGTCCTATATTTAAACTTGTAGCAATTACACTAGTCGATTATCTCTGAATTACCAGATAAGTAGTTATTGAAGAACCGGTTTGGGAATGCTGCTGCCGTGAAGCTGCTGTGTCAGTCATGGGAACTAGTAACAACAGAGTTGCGTTTCCCTCTGGGAGAGAAAGTGGCTGTAAGCCAGAGGGGAAGACTTCACAGTGTGTGTGGGAGGAGGAGTGTTGCTCTTACATGAGGAAGCAGAACTGCTCTATTGTTTGCTTTACCCGGATTATGTAGGAGCATGCTTGAGTGAATTGCTCTCACGCTGCTTTTGCTCATCTCGCTAAGATGTGGTGCACGATAACGTCATCTTAGAACCTAGGCTGGCTAGCGCAGTGCTGCTGCAGGCAATCGTGGTGTTATACAGCCAATTTTAAATAAGTTGTATCTCTTTCCTTAAATTTACTTTCAGGGAAGCTTCCAAAACCTTGATCCCTTATGGCTAAAAGCCTTTCATATTGCAAATGGGCATGACTTGTAACGTAGAAGGTTGTTTACACCTACAGGATGGTTCTGCATGAAATAGCTCTTCCTTGCTCCCATACCCATGCTCTCTTGTATCTGTACCAGTCTCTGTTCTCCTTCCTGTGGAATTGCTAGAAACTGCGTGAATATTTTGGTTGGGGTATTCTTATCAATTACAGTAGCAAAATGAGTGCTTTGTGTACCCAAAAACATGTAATCGACTTCAGTTATGGGTTTTATTTCTCTTTTCAGTCCTACCGGGACCTGAAAGAAGTGACTCCTGAAGCACTGCAGATGGTTAAGAGAAACTTCGAATGGGTCGCAGAAAGAGTGGAGGTACCTGTTTTTATGAACAACGCATCTAGACTTCGGTAACTGCATCTCTTCAGTCCCGTTCACTGTTTGTCTTTCCCCTGCCCCTCTTCACTCTTTTCCCTAGTTGCTCCTGAAAACGAAGAGCCAAGGCAGAGTCGTGGTGTTGATGGGATCCTCTTCTGACCTCAGTCACTGTGAGAAAATAAAAAAGGCATGCGCAACCTTTGGAATCCCTTGTGAGTTGAGAGTGACCTCTGCTCACAAAGGGCCCGATGAAACCCTGAGGATCAAAGCAGAGTATGAAGGTAAATGCCGAAGAACCACTGCTTGGGACTGAGACGGTAGCGTGGTCAAGAATGACTTGGCAACATCAGGATTTGCGCGGGGTTTTTCCAGTTTTTGCTAAACACGCCACCAAGCTGTTACAATGCTGTTCTACAGTTGCTAATTACAGAATGACAGGTTATAGGCTGCTCTGAGCAATTAGTGTAATGCATGGTCCTGCTGCCCGGCCATAGCTCCCACCGCTCAAAGCCCAACCTCTGCTTTTAGCCCAGTGCCAGAACTGCTTTGCCCAAGCCTGGATCGTGTTGATACGCTGACTGTAGCATCCTGCTGGTAACGCTGGCCCTTTGTTAGCAAGGAGGGCTGACAGTTTCTGTGGCTGATTCTGAATGTTCTTATGTGGTCTTTGAGGGAGATGTTTCTCCCGTCATGTTTTCCTGCCTGATTCAAGAAAATATTCTTGCTCGTTAGTTTAGATGCCATAAGAAAAAGATACTTGATTTAAATTCTTATCTTTACCAAGAAAACTTTATGTCCCTTCCGAAGTGTTTATAGCCTAGCAGAGGAGAGAGAAGAACTATTTATTTTTGCAGGAGTATACTTTCTACAGGGGAAAAACTGGCAGATGGGGCACGTTAAAAGCTCAGTGAAACTGCACACATGGTAACCATAGTTGAGAAACATCTGTTTTGAGGTGAAAGATTTAGGGAGAGGAACACTTAACAATGCCAGAGGTTTAATGGCTGTTCCCTACAAAGCTAAGCAGCACCTGTTCCTCTGACCCTGAGACTTCCCCTCGGAGCAGAGCAAGACATGCTCACCGCAGCTGAGGTACACAGTAGCTGGGATCTAAGTCAGCAAGAGTTAGAAGTTACTTCTCTACAGGGGTGTCCTGGTTTCAGCTGAGATAGAGTTAATTTTCCTTTCAGTAGCCGCTGTGTTTTGGATTTAGTACAAGAAGAATGTTGATAATACACTGATGGTTTTAGTTGTCACTATGAATTCAAGGACTTTTTCCAGTTTCTCACATTCAGCTAATGAGCAGGTGTGCGGTAGCTGGGTGGGAGCATGACCAGACAGACAGCCGGGCTGGCCAATGGAAATATTCCATACCGTGGATGTCATGTTCAGTATATAAGCGGGGGTTGGCAGGGGGGCAGGAACCCTTTTCCGTGAGTTTGGGCTTTTTTCTGTGACTTTGGCGAAATCCACGATTGTTGCTTGGGGACTGACTGCGCAATCAGTCATCCGGTGGTGAGAAAAATTGTGTTGTTTATTATTTGTTTTGCATATTCATTATTACATTTGTCTTATTAAACTGTCTTTATCTCAATGCACAAGTTTTTGTCCATCCTCCTCCCCATCCCACTGCGGGGCAGGGAGGAGTGAGCGAGCAGCTGCGTGGTCCCAGTTGCCGGCCGTTGGGTTAAACTGCGACAGGAGGGGGACGCTGGACACAGAATTGTAGTGCTGTGTACCAGAATTGGCAAAATGGCTGCAGGCAGAACTGAGACTTGGGTAAAGTCCCCACAAAAGCAACTGGGAGAGAAGCAGAAGGTGGATTGCTGATTTCTGCGTGCCTTCCTTCCCCCAGGAGACGGAATCCCGACAGTGTTTGTTGCGGTAGCTGGCAGAAGCAACGGCTTGGGGCCAGTGATGTCTGGTAACACTGCCTACCCGGTGGTCAACTGTCCTCCGCTCTCGGCTGACTGGGGCACGCAGGATGTGTGGTCCTCACTCAGACTGCCCAGCGGTAAGATGATCTGCAGCTTACGCTCTTGTACTCGCCTCGCTCTGTTTTGTTGTTGTTGTTCCAGTGTACGTACGTGTACAAACACACCCAGCAAAACACTGGAAAAGTAGCTGGATCCGTACTGAGCAAAGGCTTTGGAAATATCTTGCATACAGTCTTTGATGGCAAAAAGCCCAATAAACGGAGCAAAGATGACACAGGAATAGTCCTTAGAAAGATACGAACCTTGGCTGATCCTCGCTGAACGTTCCAGTTTGAAACTGGAATTAGTATTAATGGGGATTTAAATAATTGACTCTTGTTCAGTTACAGCCCTGCATTCTACTTCAGATCAAAGATCAAAAAATACCTTTACCACAGTCAGCGTAAGTAAGAACTTTACTCTGTTATGCAGTGCGTTGCTACCCAAGTGGTTTTAAGTTTTATGAGTGACGTGAACGGGTGCGCGGCACCTGGGGGGCCCAGAAGCCTGCTGCCTCTGTCGGGAGAGCCACCTGGTACGTGGGCATTGGGCTGGAAATGCCTCCACGCAGTCACATCAGAGGTGGAACATGTGATGCTTAGTGGCTTTAAAACAAGATCACCTGGTTCCCGAGGCTGAAACCAACGCTGTCGTAGACTGTTCTTCAGAGGCAGGGCTGCGCGTGGCTGTAAGACACGCTGGGGTAAGCGGCGCTCTCTTCTCCGCAGGTCTCGGCTGTCCCACTACCCTGTCACCGGAAGGCGCTGCCCAGTTTGCTGCCCAGATATTCGGGTTAAACAACCACTTGGTGTGGGCCAAACTGCGAGCAAACATGCTGAACACCTGGGTCTCCCTGAAGCTGGCTGACAAAAAGCTGCGAGAGTGCACCTTGTAAGTCATGCTAACAAGTAACTACTGTTAGTTGCGCAAAGATAACGGTGTGCGTATTCATTTGCATTTGGATGAGCTCAGAAGTCCTGTATCTTCCTCACAGAAGAAAGCATTGTTAGAGCAGCAGATGACGTCTGTTGTGTCCTCATCCTTCCCTTGTGTATTTTTTTTTTTTTAATACAACAATTTAGTAAAAGATGGGGCAGTAGGATTTTGGGTGTGTCTCTCTGTTGCTCCAGAATGGTGCTGCTCCGCTCTCTAGTGCGTACCGTTAACCCCAGACTATGCCGAGAGAGTGATCTGGTGTGATCACAGTAGCCTTCAGCTAGCCTGGGGTCTCTCTGTGCCAGTAATGTTCTTCCACACTAATAACGTACATCCTGACCCTGACTGACGCAGCTGGGCCGCTGACTGCAGCCAGCGCTGACACTCTTCTGCTTGCAGTGGTGGCATGCTTTCTTTAGCAATAAAATGGCAACACTTGCTGTATTAATAGGAAAGGGGGCTGGGAAAAGGTTTTCTGAGCCTGAAATAAATACCTGCCTTATTTAAAAATGTATATACATACATGTATTTTTTTTTTTTTTTTCAATGTGTGTGTATACATAACCCCACTGATACCTTCTGGAATGATGTGCTAAAGCTGACATCAGTTCTGTTGATAACAAGCTGTGAATGCAGGCGGAGTGAGGTGCGAGGATGCTTGTTGCCTGTGCGCCGTAGCTCTGGCGCTGTCGGGCTGTCCCCACCCGCTGCAGCGGCCCCAGCTGTTCCGCATCTGTGTGGCCGCCCTCTCTTTCTGTGGAGATCTTGCTGAACGGAAGGGGGAAATAAATAGCAAAGCCACAAATGACTGGGGGGAAATCGAATCCAAGCATGACTGCCCTGTCTTCGCGCGCACCAGTCTTCTGAGTAGGTACGACCCTAACAAATATGCAATTACTCAATGTATGTAACACTTCTGCTTTTACAGTTATAAATAAACTTGAATTCAAAGCTGCTTCGTGGAGAGTTATTGAATAAGGACACCCAGACTAGCTGCCGGCTGCGGTGCGTACCTGCAGGGCCTTGTCAGGCGGTCCCCGTGGAGAAAGCCTCATGTGCTCAAACCTGCAGGGAGTGTGTTGAGTGCCCGTCTGCTGGAAGATGCGCTGCTACCTGGTGAAGGGGCTGGCTGCTCCAGGGAGCTGTGCTGCTTTGTTCCCAACGCACTGCAGTAGGATTGTGTGGCAGCGTGAGTGATGGGATAGATGCTGCTGCTGGCCTCAGCAGAGCTGTCGGCATCGCTCTCGTCTGAGTTGAGGGTAAGGGTTTCTCAGCTGGCCAAAGCTCACGCTAACGCAAAATAACTAGAAGTCTCTTGTTAAGGGCGACTGCTTTTCTAATGAATTTCTAAACGAAATATTGACAGGAGTGAGGGCTAGCGGTGATAAAAGAGGCTGACATTCCTTGGTGGCATACCGTCACCTAGCAGAAAAACCAAGGGGTGAACAGGGTTTGCTTGGGTGAGCAACTGCTGTAGGTGACCCTGCTTCGGCAGGGGGTTGGACTGGGTGATCCACAGAGGTCCCTGCCAACCCCGACCATTCTGTGATTCTGTTTCTTTAGCAACGCAACTTACACGGTGTTGGGAGTCTTGAGCCGTGTTTTAAGATAAAACCAGAGGTGCCTGGATGACAGGCAGCAGGCACATTGCACGCGTTTTCAGAGCACGCTGCCCTGTTCCACACGTCCAAAAGTTCACACGTGAGAACGCTCAGTCTCTGGGTGCAGACAAAAATGAGGTGTAGAGGTGGTTTGAACAATTCAGACTTGTTTCAAGGCATGTACGAGAGGAGAAGTTTGGAGTTTCACAGACAGTTGATTTAAAAAAAACAATGAACCAACCAAACCACAAACCCTGAACTTCCTGGAGAGCCGCAGCACCTCTCGAATGGGGTTGCAGCCCCAGTTCCCACAGCCCTGCTCCATTGCAGATCTAGGTCTGTGCATTCAAACCTCAGATCCTCAGAGCTGTGGTGCAACGGTGACTGGATCGAGGGACGTAAAGCCACCGAGTAGCTGCAGGAAGGGAAGTTCAACTTAATCTCCCCTTCCCCCCCCACCCTGCACTGCTTCCATTTGTTAAGGAAATAACTGCAGCAGGGGTTCGGCACAGCAACGCTGCAGCAGCCTCCAGAGCTTTGGGCTTCTGCCTCAGCAGTCTGGTAGCAGGTAACCGTGTAACAGTGTCCACAGCTTATCTCTGGTATGGAAATCATGAGGAACTACCAGTTCAGCCAGACTGGGAGCTTTCTGAAGGACGGACTTCCTGAAGAGTATGCCCTGAGTGTAAAGAAGATCTTCGACTCGGAGAAGACAAAAGATCATAGAATCAGATCATAGAATCACAGAATCATGAAGGTTGGAAAAGACCTCGAAGATCATCAAGTCCAACCATCAACCCAACAGCCCCATGCCTGCTAAACCATGTCGTGAAGTGCCACATCCACGCGGTTTTTGAACACCTCCAGGGATGGGGACCCCACCACTGTCCTGGGCAGCCTGGTCCAATGCCTGACCACTCTTTCAG